CGGACGAATATATGTATGGGAGCTATATCTAAGTCTAACCCGATTTTCTCGAAACTTAACACAAGTCATTCTGGACTCAATTTAGTACACTATGCAAAATTTCGTCCAAATCGAACGATATATAGGGACTCTGGTGTACTATTTTTATTAAATCGGACGAAAATATATATATGGGAGCTATATCTAAATCTGAACCGATTTTCTCGAAACTTAGCACACATCTTTCTGTACCTAATTTAGTACGCTATTCCAAATTTTGGCAAATAGAAGGAAATATAAAGGCTTTGGCACACCATTTACATGAAATCCGACGAAAAAATATATGGGAGCCATATCTAAATCTGATCCGATTTTCTCGAAACTTAACACTCGTCATTCTAGTAAACTATCCTACCCACTGTGCCACATTTATGGCTATGACGTTGTCTATAATAATTACGATTATAGTTAATCAACAATTGTTATAATTTATTGCTTGTTAATCATGTTGTAGTAATAGTTGTTGTTTTTTCTGTTTATTATTTTTTTTTTTGTCTAGATGGTGTTATATTTCAGTGTAGCGTATTTGGCCTGCATTTCTGTATTGGTTTTTGGTTTTGTTTTTGTCCCTAATGTCCAAAAGTAGCCGTTCGGTGCGAAGCAATGCAGTTAAACAGCTTTGATTGATTTCACTTCGTTTTGAAAGACAAGACTATTATTTGTAAAAACTGTGGTGTTGTAGAAAATCAAGAAATTTGAAATGAAGTTGTTCGATATTTTATTAGGAGGGAAACTTGAGATGAAATGTGGCTTTGTAGGTTCTTGGAGATGGAAAGAAAGGTATACTATTTGAGGAACTAATGAAGACATTAAAATTCATAAAATGAGAAGATGCATTTTTTTATATTTTTAGAGATCAGAATATTTAATATAGAGGATTGAAAATTTGCACATACGTTTTTAACATTCCTAGAATGTTTAGTGTCGAATATAGTGTAAAGGACCACGTTTTGAAATAAGTGCAAGCCATTTCAACGGCATATTACAACATAAACTGACTACTATAATTAAATAGGTATTTAGGATTCTTTGAGCCTTAAATATTTTCTCACAGAAAGGATTATGTTTTCACATATCTCCTTTATAATTGTTCCGCCTGCTCCATATTTTTGATAACCTACAAAAAGGCATTTTGGGATTTCAAAAGAGGCAGAACATTTTGAAAACAAGTAAATGCGTTGTTCAGCTTGATACGGCCGAACTATTTAACCCTTCACAACGTGGTGTGTATTAAAAATTCCTTAAATCGGTCGGGAATTTTTTTATGCAATGACGCATTATTTGATAGTTGGCAGTTCATGCACCGAAAAAAATGTCCAAATTATGGACACTCATGTTGGAAACATGGGGTAGGAACTTCAACATACCAAGAAATTAACGGCGTATTTTTGTATGGGGTTTGTTTTTCTCTAATGAGAAAATTCGATTAAAGACTTAATAATACTGAAAATAGGGTAGGAACTTTATGGGAATGCCAAATTACAGCCACTCCAGAGATAGAAAATGCCGCTGAAATCTTCAAAATACAAACAAAGGGTGAAATCCGTTTATAGGAGCTATACCAAACCATAACCCTATATTGACAATTTTTGGTAGAAAGATTTGACAACTCAAGAGAACGTGAGAAAAATAGAACCAAAGAATATAGAAGCATGGGGTATCAATATATTGGGACTACCCGGAAACTTGGTCCAATATTGATCCTTCTTAGTTGGAATTGGAAAAGTCTCAAAATTCCGAATATTTGGGTGGTACCTTTATATGAGAGATACCCGGAAACATATGCCAATAGTGAAAATTTTAGTAGGAACATATCTACTCAGTGAGAACATACAATTTTGAACTTATAACCAATCCGCTTAATAAAGTGTCCAAAAGCTTCATAATACGGAGTATTGAGGTGTACAATTCGGTTGTAATATGGAATTGCGTATTGTCTATTGTAGAAAATATCGTAAGGTTCATATTTGGTCCAAATAATTGTGGGTGTTATTATCTCCCTAAGCATGGCGAATAAATAGATGACACAATTCTTAATTTTCTTGGCGGATTAACTTCACAAGTCCTTTTAAGCTATCCCTTTTACTGACAAAAGTTATTTACTTTATAGCCGAAATCATAATATTTGACCCCACAAAATAAGTGCAAAGGAATCATAATTCCATCAATACCACCAATTTTATTTGTAACATAATATCCGTGTTTTAACCACAATGGTAGGAAGTTGGCCAGGTCGCCGATTGTTATCATCTACATTGCAGAGAATATTTTTCGATTACTACATTTTCGTTCGATTGGTTCCATACATATGCCCCACATGTAAGACCAATTAACAGCCAAAAGGAATAGAGACACCAAACTGCAGACCCTTTGAAGTTAGATCATGATCAATTTAGCTGTTCAAGTTCTCAGTAGTTATGACCTTGTTGTTGGTATAGGTGCAGGTCTATATAAACGACACCGTTCGATATTTGAAAGAAATTGGACACGTTTTGTAACAAAATTTACTATCATTGGGTATTTCGGTTTCTAATAAGGTAATAATCATATCTAAATCTAAATCATTGCTAAAATATTCAATTCATATTTTGTTTTTGCAAAATAGTCAGGCTTTATCCCAGTTTGTTGTTTTTATAAAAAACAACTATTTATTAGTGGGGAATGTATGGCATTGTCCGCCGAGGGGTAAGGCAGGGAAGACTATAGTTTCGGATCTCGCCACTGATCCTCATCAGTTCCCTTAGTTTTTTGTTGGGATATTCTCCCCAGAAGCTATTAATAGCTTCTTTACAAAAAACCTTTCAAACCCAAATGTCTCTTGTGACAATTCGAAGTTCTTACGTTACCAGCGATACGACCCCAATGAGAAGTTCGTTTCGTTGGCGCCTGACTTCGTGGTCAACAAGGCATTTACAGACAACTACAATACATTTCCCACTGCTATGTGTCGTCACTTTGTGACGAATGCACATAACGTTGTTGTTGGTATTGCTAGTTAAAGCAAAATACCAAACAGTATGACCGTGCCTCGTCGTTTGCAAAAACAAAATACAAATGGTATCCCAAATAACCCGCCAAACACTACTGAAGTTGTAGACGAGGCACGGTCATACTGTTTGGTATTTTGCTTTAACTAGCAATACCAACAACAACGTTATGTGCATTCGTCACAAAGTGACGACACATAGCAGTGGGAAATGTATTGTAGTTGTCTGTAAATGCCTTGTTGACCACGAAGTCAGGCGCCAACGAAACGAACTTCTCATTGGGGTCGTATCGCTGGTAACGTAAGAACTTCGAATTGTCACAAGAGACATTTGGGTTTGAAAGGTTTTTTGTAAAGAAGCTATTAATAGCTTCTGGGGAGAATATCCCAACAAAAAACTAAGGGAACTGATGAGGATCAGTGGCGAGATCCGAAACTATAGTCTTCCCTGCCTTACCCCTCGGCGGACAATGCCATACATTCCCCACTAATAAATAGTTGTTTTTTATAAAAACAACAAACTGGTATTAAGCCTGACTATTTTGCAAAAACAAAATACAAATGGTATCCCAAATAACCCGCCAAATACTACTGAAATATTCAATTCATAACTAAAATTTCCATTGTGGGGCTATATCTAACTTTTGGTATAGGCCCACAACAATTCTACTCCCATTTCTGAATATTATCAGGATTTAGGGCAAATTTTTCAAACAAAATTGTCTGTAATTTGATATTCTTGTAGAAAGTCCTACCAACAAAATTTATTAATAGGTACCCTATTTCCAGTAAGGAAAGCTCAAAGCTGATCCATTTACATAAAAAACGAAACTATATATCGTTAGCTAAAATGCAAAAAGGCGTAACTAACAAAAAATTGAAAATTGAAATTGTCAACACATGTAGTTTATTGACATTCACAATATTCATTAAAAAAGTCAATTTTCAATTTTTTGTTAGTTGCGCCTTTTTGCATTTTAGCTAACGGTATGAGAGTTATATCTAAATCTGAACCGATTTTAACAAAACTTCGCAAACATCAATCTGGACTTAGTTCAATATGCTGCGCAAAATATTGTCTCAATCGGACAAACCTTGACAGTTTGGTGATCCAGTTACATAAATCAGAACCGATTCCAACAAAACCATACATCAGGACCTTGTTCAATACGCTGTGCAAACTTAGGAGTTTGGTGCACCATTTACATAAAATATAAAATAAACCGATTTTCTCTAATTTCAATAGCGTTCGTCCTGTGACCTGTGCCAAATCTTATCTAATTCGGATCATAAATGCGACCTGTTCTTTGCTCAGACTCGGGACAGATGAACATCCGAAGGAAAGAATATCCTGTACCACAATGTGGTGAAAGGTATAAAAATCATATTCGGCTACTGAAAACCCCAATATTCGACGATTTGAAATTTATGAAAACCATGTCGTATAAAAAAAGTCCTTTACGGCAATCTAAGATTGTTGGTTGTGCAGTGGTTTATTGAGATTCGCATTAGATATCATTTGATGCCTCAAATGGGGATGATTAAAAAATTCTCAATATCTTCATGGTAGAGGTTTAAAAATGTTATTCCCTGTTACTGGTTTTAAATAGTTTCTATGAATTTCTTGGATGAGTGATATATCGGCTTTTAAAACGATACCATTTTTCCTACAATAGATATATCTTATTACAGAATAAATAACTTCTTTCAACTTTATTTATTTTCCGGTACACTATACAGTGAAATTCGTTTATAGTTCATATGACCTGCACATATTTGTATGTTAAGGTCATCGTAGCGTAATAAGATATTATTTCCAGATAGTAAGCATTAATATACCCACATTATTTTTAAATATATTTCAAATTCTTAAAATAATGTCTCCTTTTGGTCTCCTTTTCTGAATGCGAACCCAATTTTCCGTTGAAGTTTTTTTTAACATAATTTTCATATTTCAATTTTATGTGACACTCACCTTTTAGGATAGGGAAAACGCCTATATTTGAAGGCTGTTTCAACATCGCGCATCTTCATTTTGAAACTTTTATCGGACATTAAGCTCATTTACGGCGTTATAAAAGAAATGTTATTATTCTATATTATCCACACAACACGAAATCACTCCAAATTAATAAAAGAAGTAACGTTTGTTCTGATTCTTTTGATTGTTAATACACTTGCATGCGAAATTTCTGTTATATTCGCTATAAAAAAACTTCTTCGTCGTTTTTTTCTTTACTTCTTTATTCAGTTAACAAATTGTGTCACTTTTGAATTGAATTGTTCGACTTCTTTTCGGAACAGCAGGCACAAAACGACAAGTAGAAAGAAGTTATTGCACAAAGTGTTCTTCTTTTCCACCTTTTTGTTGTTGTTGTTGTCGTTGTTGTTTAAACTTAGAAATTTTCGGTTTCTTTGCTTGACTGGGCAACAACTTTTCCTTTAGAGAGCAGCCAGTTTCTTTTATTTCCGAACTTGTACACAATTTCTTTGCGGTAGAAAGAATTCACACACACGAAAAAGACCGGCTTTCTGGTCTTTTTTCTATCGAACAGACACACAAAACACAGCTATTATTGTGATTCTTGGTTTTTGTCACCGACCGGAGCCAGAGTCAAGAAAAATTCAAGAGAAAATACAAAACAATCGCTATTGTAGGCGTCGACGGCGTACAAAATTTAACGACAGAACGAACTGAGAAAGACGTCTTGATCTTACAGCGTTCGAAATGGAACTGAATGTTCAAATCTTACAACCATCTACTTTTGGCCAAAAGAAAAATGTTAATCTTTCATTACGACGACTGCAAGACGACGACGAATAAGCCGTGGTGTTCGTGCCAACAAATGTATGTTTGTATTGGCTTAGTGGAGAGAAAGAAAGGCCCGAATACCAACCACCGTCAACCGAAATATGAACTAACAACAAAAACAATACAACCACAACCATATCGAGCATAACATAGGCTGGCTCTTTGGTAAACAAATGATCAGCGAACAAAACAACCAACCAGCCAACATGTGTGTTGTTGGCTTAAAACAACAAGTGTGGCCTGAAACCGACTTACACAAATATCACGATCACATCTTCAAATACATAAATTGTTGTTGTGGTGTTGGTGGTGTTGTTGTCGTCTTCGTTTATATTGACGTCATACCAGGATTATACCACTGTTAACATATGTCTTAAACAGATAATGATAGTGCCGCTGTCTCCATTGTTTATTTTCTTATTTAGGACTCTTTTGTGTGCTATTTAAAGTCTGTTTTAGAAGAAAAGGGTTGTGTCTCAACGTCGTTGATTAATTTGTGGATAAATAGCATTTACCTTTTGTGTTGGAAATGGGATCACCTAAAAATTAATTAATCAATGGAGAGAAATTATGTTGACACATTCCTGCAGTTAGACACAAACCTGTCCTAAATTTTGAAAACGGAATATTTTTGGAGAAGCAGCACTATGAAGTTGGTATTTTCTAAAATTGAATATAGTATGACGTATACGTTATAAATACCGTTTTATTCCGCCAATTGTATATATAATGTTACACGAATTATATAGTTCTGAAAATATTGAAAGCTTTTGAAAACGCACAAAAATACAGGCCCAAAAAAATTAGTTATAAGTGGGTTCTATATTGATCTTGGTCTGGGGTGGATAATTCCATTTGGGGATGAAAAACCTTGGCGAGTATATGAAACCACGGAAGGAAAAATTCGCCACTGGTCAAAGTTTCAGAGATATGGTGTGACAATTTTATTGCTGTCGACCCTTTTATACATGGAGCTTCATATGTTCGAAATAGATTTGATTCATATATGTTCGAAATGGATTGATGCATAATATGACAATTAAGTATTTTGGGTTCTGATTGGGTAACAAATTTTCAATATTAGGTAAGGTAGGTCATATATATAGAGGGAAGTTTTGGCAAGTATTTCAACTACATTAACTTTTTTTAAAGTGTTTTCACCGCGCTTATTGGTCAATACATTTATTGAGTAAAAAAATTAACTTTATTTTAGTGTTTTGCGTTCTCATTGGTTAGTAAAAATATTGACTAAAGTTTTAGGGTGTTCTCCATATAAAAGAATAGGGTATGTGCTTATGCGAATGACTTGCTAATCATGATGGAATTCACGTGTTGGACTTAGCGAGCATGACATAACACATTGTGCAAGTCTGAAATTGCTAGTTAGAGTGGAGGTGAAATCCGAAATCCTATGGTTGCTACGCAGCCCTTTACTCCATTCGAGCTGGTAAGTGCGGCAATATGTATATGAACACCGTGATGTATTTTAAGATAAGGAAGTCCGAGAAATTGAATTTTCTTCTACATTTATGTATTCAAATATTTGAGCAGGCCAAACTTTCGCTTTAGCTTAAGGAAACCCACAATTCTCGATTTGAAATGTTGATGATTTTAAAACGGCTGCAAATTAATGCATTAACTTTCCATTAAAGTATTTGAAGGCTTAAAGGATAAGAAAATTAATTGACATCATTTTGTTGTTGTTTGTTTGTGATTAAAGAAAAGTCCTTATTTGCGGTCCTGATGGCGGGCATGATAACTACTCACGAAAATTCCAAAGGCATTAAAAAGAATACATGCCTAGCTCTCATATAAAACTGATACCAATTTTATTCGCAAAAAAAGTATTTCGGGGAAAAAGCGTTTAAAGTTTGAGAATCACTTTTACCGTCGATTGATGCTAACACAATAAATCGGATTTTGATGTTTGGTAAAACAGGAGATATCGGTCCACCTTTGGAATAACCCCCATATTCGGTATTTTTGAACAAGGGGACTGTAATTTTGTATTATGGGTTCTTATTAGGTAGCAGATTATTAATATTTATACAGTTGTTAGTGTCCATATAACGAGGGGAGTTTCGGCATGTGTTTTAACCGAATTTAAAATTACTAAATAGAGATGATACCATTCACTAATTTCAGTATACTGTGAACTCTCGATAATGTGAACACTCAAGTTGATATTAAAAGTATTGAAAAAATCTGGAAATTAGTGGTAAATATGCTGGTCGAATCGAAAATGTTAACAAATTCGAAAATCGAGAGTTCACTGTACACCTAAGTCTGTTTTTACACGGTCTTTTTGTACACGGTTTTGATACAACACGGTTTGAAAATTGAATATTTTTAATTTTTTTAGACGATTTTATTCCATTTAGCACGATTTGAAATTTTATGTTCTTTATTTTTGTTGTCAAATTCATTTTTTGCGAAGTCTGTTCATATCACAAAAAAGTATTTATGAAAGAAAAAAGTCTGAAACCATCGATAGTATCGATAGTTTTCGAACACTAGCTTAAAGATTTAAGTGAATTCCCCTTTAGCGCGTACAAACAATTTTTACTGGTCAAAGCAAATGTGAATAGCACTAATTTAGGGGAATTCCCTTTATGTATAAGATCAATGTCTTTTTTTACACGGCTTCTTCTGGAACCAATCTACCGTGTAAAAACAGACTTAGGTGTATTCTACATATTAATCCTAACAGACGTCGCCTTTTCGAAGGAACATTGACATGAAATTGAACGAATATAATCTTTATCTATATGTGAACCGATTAACATTTATCCATACATATGTCATTCTGCAACCTATGCTAAAATGCATTTCATTCCGGCAGATTTAGAGTCGTTTGCGTACAATTTAAAGCAAACTTGATACACGCTATTTGGTGTGCCGCATTGTTCAAAATTTAATCTCAATCAGACGCCCGTTCGAAACCTATATAGAAGCTATGGCTGCATCTGCACAACTTTCGACGAAAGGCAATAACGCCATTCTAGTCTCAATTAGATACGTTATAAAAAATTTCGTGTCAATCGGACAAAAATTAGCAGTTTGGTGCACCATTTACCTAAACTCGGACGAGCTATATCTAAATCTGAACTGATTTCAAAGAAACTTAGCACACATCTTTCAAGACGAAATTTTGCATAGCGTACAGAATTATATATAACGAAAATATATATGGGAGCTAATCTAAATCTCAACCGATTTTTACGAAACTAAACACACATCATTCTAGACTCAATTCAGTACGCTATACCATATTTCGTGCAAACCGAAAGATATGTAGGGACTTTGGTACGACATTTACATTAAATTGGGTGAAAATACAGTGGTGGTCAAAACATATGCAACTGAAATTGAAAACATATGCAACTGAAATTTAATACATGGAAATATGTAGTAATCTCTTTATTAGAAGTTAAAAATAGGTAAACTTGGTATTTTTCAACGCTTTAGATTCAATTGAAACTGTAATTGTATTTTTCCCAGAAATTTTTGATATTTTGCTGTGAAATGTACTGATCAAATTGATAACTCAATTTTAGCTGGCCTGAAATGTATGCTCCTAGATGGGTCAACTAAATTAAGATTGTGGGATTGTGTATCACTATTTGTGATATTAAACTTCTGTTGACATTATATTCCTCAGTTTTTTCCACATCCTAGAACCATCATAATACCTAAAAGGAGCGGAACCTATATAGCGAAGTTACGAAAAAGATGATCCTATATTGAGCATTTACTGCAAATAAGTATTTAACCTTCCAATAGTTTCGATATATCCTTTTTTTAAAATCGAGCATACTAGAGTACAAT